CTCAGACGGGATTGATTAACGCCAAAAACTTTATCCTTATCCTTTTATCTAACGTTACAAAGTAATACAAAGGTAACGAAGAAACGTGAAAAACGGCGTTATTTGAGGGACATAAGGCATCAAAAAAGTACAGAACTTGATGGATGCACGATAGTGTGACCACAAAAGTTGCTTGAAATAGTTGTTGGTATCATGGCGTATAGCTAATTACAAAAAGCCATAAATGTTAAAAATTGTTTACTAAGCAGCCGACGATCCTGACATATCACAATCTGTGCTACTCTCTTATTTACTGCTGCTCTGACAGAACAAACATTCAGAACAATCACATCAATAGTAACAAGGCGAGAGTGGAACCAGAGAGTATCCTTAAATATAATGACTCATGCTACAATCAGCGGATTGACTTTTCACTAGAGTTACACCAATGCGAACATTGGTGCGCGGCAATTAGATTTCATAGTCAGCCTAAAGGGGGAAGTGGCATTCACGCGACAAGTCTCTGGCCAATCATTATGCCCTATCTGGGACGTTTTTTAACAGGTACAGTATAAGAGGGAGTCTCGAAATCATACTGTCGGAAAATCTCAGAAGCCATTTTTTATCGAGACTTGTACCTTGGAAGGAAAATTAACTGTGAGATTGTAAGAGAGTACGAATCGATAGGGGATCCATGGGTAACGGAACTTCTCCCCTATCGCGGCATTCTCCCTTGCGGCATGCGGCAAATGTCACTGCAATTACNAGCCAATTCAAATGATTAAAGGACTCCCTACCTCACAAATTGCGCGCTCCAATCTTTCATCGCAATCCTGCGATAGGCGGCGGGTGCGACGTGTGCGACGCCGTGTTAGGGGAGAAGTTCCCGGACCCGGGATCCATCGTCGAGGTTCTGAGTCAGCAGTACAAATGAATAGTTTCAGCTTACCGTACCAATCTATTTGGCCATACTTGTATTCCCATTGTTGAATTTCAAATCACCTACGTTCTTCACTAAATTCAACATGCTTGGAACGATATCTGTTATTTACCTATTGATATTCAATGGTTCACGTCTTATAGAATGTGGAGTCAACTTGAATTTCTCGGATTTAACTTCGCCAAACTACGTCCACAGTAAGATTACATTTTGATTGCCTGCTGAAATTCACAAAATTATGTCCACAATTCCAGATTTTAGTTGGAACTTTCCTGCCTTGACTGGAATGCTCACCATGTCCTATTTTCTCCATAACGCTATTATTACGATGCTACGTAATCAGAGGAATCCAGAAAATAATGTGAGCGACACTAATTTGAAAAAAATCGGATTTGATCTAGTGGCAAGTAGTGCCCCACCGCAAGTCATAGGAGAAACTGAATCTGAGATGTCGTTGTTGAATGAGCTGCGATTTTTGGAGGAGCCGTGAAAGAGAGACTTACAATCGCTCCTGCCTATTTATTCATTTTTGTAGAAACTTGTAGACCTCTGAAAAATTTGAGCCAACGTTGAGAAGGTGTTGATAAAAACTTGTTCTCCGTTTCAGGTACGAGATCTCTCTATCGGGTATGGACTGGTGGCATTCAGTTATACGTTTGTAGCATTCTCTTTCTATGCTGCATTTCCATTATCCCGAACTTGCATAGGCGATGTAAGCTATTATTAATCGGAACGAACAAATGTTTCAGATTGGAATGCGTTTTCTAAAGTCGACCAATTTCAGAATTTGTTAAACAATTTCCATGCTAATAGCCCCATGAGCGCCGTGGCACGGGTATTAATTTTCTTCCAACTCTTGACGATACTTCCTCTTATCATGTATTTCATTCGATCACAAATCTCCTGTGCAATGTTCGGCGCACCATGGCCAGGGTGAGGAGATTTATATTTTTTTTTATGAAAGCAGAATATGCAGAAAGGATTGAAAGAGATACTATTGTGCCTTGGGACTACACCGTATCATACCGTATCGTATCGACCGTCATAATGGACAATTCTTTGGAGTTAATTTTCCGTTTCATTTAATCTCCCTCAGACCAATCTCGCTTACCACCCTGGAGACAGGGTCAAGTGCAGTATCAAAGAAAATCACCACTTCGCTTCTTTCCGAGAACCGCGTCTCAGTACCTTCTCCTCCACCTTCGAAAACTGGAATTCAAAGTTATCCCCTTTTTTCCGGAACTGAACTCAGCACTCTTCGATACTCGGTCAGTCCGTGTGCATAGTCTTTAACTTTCCCGAATGCGACGACGAACGATGACAAAGGGGTGAACGGATTTTCAACCCACATCCATGTGAAAATTATGAATCCTTCCCCTTTTCAAGCAAGGCAGACACAAGCCCTTCAACCCATTTCCGTGGAGGAATCCTCGACATCCACCTGACCATGTAAGGATATTAGTTGTTGACATCTGCAGAGAATTGTTATAGCATCGTCGTGGATGCCAAATTACCTCATATATAAAATTTTAGTAATACACATTGCATTACAATTGCGACTAGGTATTTAAGACACACATTACATCAAATTGATCTTCTTTGGAGATTTCTTATTTCAGACGAGTAAGAGTACTGATACTCAATAGTACAATTGTATGCATTGGCGTTTTGACAGCAATATTTTTTCCCAATATCGGCAGCATAATCAGGTACTGGTTGTCATGAAAGTTGATTCCGAAAAAGTTAATTCAAATGAGGTTTTCAGGTATTTCGGTGCTCTATCAGGGCTTATGTATGCGTACGCCCTTCCATGTATGGTTGATATGCGAATTGCACATCGTACTGGAAAGCTGACTCCTCTCAAAATCGCCATCTGTGTTACAATAATGGTTTTCGGAGCAGCAAACCTAGTTGCACAGTTCTTCATCAAATGATTTTTGGCAGTTAAATGTGCCTTCCCAGAAGGCGAATCGGAAAATTTCGCAAAAGCCTGTTTGACAATATGGTGATGGAAATTTAGCGACCTATTCAGACAAGTGTCTCACTTTCACAAGTTCGAAGTATGCGATAAAATATGTCACACAAACATATGCAGTGATCCATATCTATGCATTCCTTGGCAGTAAATGTTCCATCGAAGTGCGTTGAGGCGATAAAGGGTAACCTGAGAACAATTGGTTTGTGTCTGGGCTGACAGATCTCCACCATTTTGGAAGCATTCGATTAATGACAACTCTGTCACCAAAGTAGCTTCCAAACTGATTTCAACCAGGCTTCAAGCTAGTTTGCGTACAAATGCCTTGAAGTTTGCGATTGGGAGTCATTTTGACTCACTACGGGTGGATTATGAAAAGCATTTTCGAATCTTTCTGTCATTAAAATTTGAAATTATTATCGAGTCCAACTGAATAATGCCCAGTGTAGCCTGCTTTCTTTCCCTCAGTTGGGCTTCCTGGATGGAACAGTACTTCATTCTCTCCCACTGAAAAAGCGCATGTTGTATACCATGAAAAAGTAATTATACAGTCCGAGTCGCCGTCGCAAAATGTCCATCACCAGGGCTATCTCATTTCAAAGCGTGTTTCATTTCATAAAACTAGGTGCCATGGAAGTTTTCTATTCCTGTGTTGATACATTTATTTATATTATATAAGCCCTTGAAAAAAATTTAGCGATAAGCGAATCTTGTTGTGTGTAGACGTGTGTCTAAGCATTATATATTGTACTGATTGTATTTTACGAGTATAGGCATCAATAATTTTCTTCTGAAGGGCTCAGATTCTCTAGTGTTTGAGAAAGTCAGCATAAATAAACTTTTTCGATTCTGATTTCTTTCTGGAGTCCTAAGTTCTCAGATTTTCGACTTTTCTTCTAGAGGATAAGTTGGTTAAAACTCAAATACAACTAGGTAGTCAGACTGACAAAGCAAAATTTTTTACTCAAATCAAAAGCGACGTACAGCTCAACGTGGCTCAAGAGCCACAAAAGACAGTAGAATATATGAGCATGTTCTACTCCAATTCTTACCTGCGGAAACGAGTGCAGTGCTTTTTGGCACTTGCTCCGCTGATCGGACCCGGCATCGCTCAGGCATTGAGTCTTCCTTCTCTTCAGTGTTGCTTAACTGGTACCAAACTCCAAGCACAACTGAAAGGATAAAAACATTGAAAGGTAAAGGGAAAGTAGTTCGGTACCTATTGGTTGAGCTGTGCAAAACACTGATTTGAAGACCGACTTGACCCCAAAAGCCTGTGCAGTTAAACAGCAGCTCGGACGAGTTACATAGAGTAGAACGGCACACGTTGCGAGATCATTTGAGGGGAAGACGTTACATCCATCGTCATTCTTCAATACATTTGTCGTAAACCATGCTTCTCTAATCGAGTTTTCTAGTTGATCATTCACAAGGCAACTTTCTGTTACATTTGGCTCCACTGGTTCTTTGATGGTGGAGAGTGCAGCGAGCAGACGAACCGAATTCAGATCTGACCAGCAGTCGAGCCAGTCGACCTTCTTCTTCTTCTTGGAAAAGATGTGTTCATTCGGTAGAGGACTACTTGCTGGTGGAGCAGTTAAGAAATCCAACAGTTTGCTGTTATGCACGTTGGTGACACCTCAGACACTTGGCTATCCCCTCCGCACCTCTGCAAATTTCGTAAAGCCAAACTCTTCTCCGTATCTTGACTGAAAGAAAGGTAAGGCATTGCGGCTGTGTGTTTTTGCCGTTGATAAGCCATGAGCTACAAGCAGTATTGCGATTGAAAGAGCGGATTTTTTTTACAACTTCAAATCAACAGATTCTGGACTTTTGAGTGATGAGAGTTTTACAAAATTTTTTTCAGCCGTTGAGCACCGGGCAAATAATAAATAAAGGGATTCGAGTTGTCGGTGTTTGCGTTCTGGAATTAACAAAAGTACGGAAGCCACTAGTATTTAGAGATGTAACAAAGAAATAGCTACTGGATAATCAAGTCAGGGCAGCATTGAGTGGTATACAACGTCAACTATATTGTATTGAGTCTGTTTATTTGGCTATATTAATTCCTACATATATTTTGAATACCTGTTATACTTTATGCAGATGTCGAGTGTGTGGCGCGTCCCTCCAGTGAGTTGATGGGGGGAAATTTCGCGGAGAAAGAGGATATGTGCCGTATCTCCAAATCTCATACTTTTGATGATTGCAGGCCAAAAATCAACTTTACTGGGACTGTTCGCGCGGCTATCTGATCTGCTATATATACATTGGATACCTTTTATATCTTAAGCAGATGTCAAGTAAGTTGCACGTTCCCTCACCGAGTTACTTACCATACTGTAATTCACTGAACAGCCTCTTTTTACAATTCCCATTCATTTCTGCTGATCCAGGATGCAAGGTAGAATATTATTGTGTAATTTGGGTTCTTCAATCATGATGCAATTGTAAATGTGCTTTTAGATGACCGAAAAATTGGGCAAGCAGTGTTTTCCTGCAGACATTAGTTCTTTTATAACTACTGCTTCTCCCTTTTGCCGGCCTGCTTTCTCGGGAGCCGAAGAAGCTTCCTCCTCCATCGTATAGTGCGCATATCCACCGACGTTCTCATCTGGAGCTGACCCATTCAGGCGTTTGCATTTTCATCATCGAACCGGAATACAGTGGAAGGGTAGAAAATTTATGGTGAAGGCTTGGCACTGAAGTGGGACGTGAGCTACTAGATGCAGAAACAGAAAAATCTTACATCTGCAAATACATTTCACCTTAATAAAGAATAGTCATACAGAGAAACTTGTAGTTCACGACAACAGTAGATTAAAGAACGTGCAAACAATAATCGAGCAAAAATGATTTTTAAAATAATATCAAATTTTATGCTCGTTGTATACAGTCAATGACGAAATGAACTCACCTAGGGGTCATTTATAGAATGTGGAGAACAGATGTTTGGAATAGTACCAGTCGATAACATCGATTTGAAAGAATGGCACAGAATATAATCTTATAATTCAAATCCATTCAAGCTCTTGACATTATTTTAATTCCTGCAATTTTCGTCCCCGCTCTGCATCAAAGGTTGGCGCCCAAGGCGCAGAAGATTAGACGGCTAGAGCTTCTAGAACTCTCTACAGTCAGCGAGCGTTCAAACTATTCGCACTTGGAGAGTTTTTCTCGAGATGGGCTAGGCCTACAACAGCCAACTTGTCGAGGCTAAGCTCCAGACATTACGAAAATGTGTTCAGAGAGNGCGTCTTTTCTCAAGTGGTCCATACCTTGGAGGAGTATGAAAGCTTGGTCATTAATTCCAGTTTGTAATGAGCTGTAACTGTTTTTGAGATATCTAGTCAATAATTTAGGTCCATCTTTTTGCTACCTTTTCCCTCACTTCTCACCTTCGATTTTCTATGTAACTTATTCATTCTTGTCGTGTATAATGGGAGATTTACTTCGTTGTAATGTTTCAGCATACATAAGCGCTTCATGATCACTCCAGTGCGCTTTTTGCGCCGTTGAAAGAAGAAAGCGGTGTTAGCAAAAAGTGCTTTGAACCAACGAGAACATTACGGTGCTCTGTGCCAAACTTGTTCTGGTCTGTAGAAGAAAGTCCTGTTAGAGTCTGAGTTACGTTTCGTCAACTAATGGAACAAAACATCTGATCCAAGGGGCCGCCGAGGTTCTCAGCTACCATAAAGCCCCTTTCAAAAACGATAGTAATCCTCTAAGATAAATGTTAGGAGTGCTCTAAACTGTCATAGTTACTTAAGTCTAGTAGGTACAGTACAGGAGATGAAAAGGGTCAAGGAGGAACTAGCTGTCTAGAAAGGCAACGGGGAGGATTGAGTCATTCGCAACCGTTGAGCCGGTGGCATAAGGGAAATCATATTAGGTGTGTGCATTAATTTCCGCCGTTTTTCGCGTGCAAAAACATACTTATTACAAAATTAAAACTGAATATACATTAACCAATGTATTGCCCATCGTTAGCTAC